AAAGCAGTGGCAGGGGGACAGACAGCTAGTGGAGGGGAGAAGCAGGGAGGTAGATAGGGAGGATCAAGCAACTTGACTCCTGTCCTGCCGCTTGTGCCTGTTTCTTCCCTCAACCCCTACTTACCCTTGCACTGATGGAGCCTGTGGTGCTGGAGCAAAGGTAAGCGGGGGAGGGGGGCAGAGAAGGCTGTTAGCAGCTGCTCTGTGCCTTCCCACCTTGTACTTGATTCCAAAGTGAGGGATTTTCCCATGTTAAATGGGGTAGGGGAAAGCTAGTCTTGAAATCAAGTAAATATGGCACTTTTCATTAATTTTGTATCAAGGTAGCCTCCATTTGTCCCACCTGTTCCTCTTTGTCCCATCTTGATACATGGTGTTTTTTTACTATAACAAACACTTCAGGATATACTGTAATTGTAATTTTGATTCATTTAAATATGGCAATAGAAACGTAGACTCTCTGTATCAAAAGGTAAGTTTTAATGATTTTCAGGCCGCACACTAGACAATAAATGCAAATAACTCTTTAAAAATTGGTTTATTTTATTTTGGGACTTGATATACTGTTAATTAGTTACCTTTAGTTTAGTTTTCAAGAAAGATTTTTCCAGTTAAACCAGTGTACTGCAATTACCATAAAAACATTTTTTTTTTTAACCCAACCCCCCACCTCACAGATATATGAGAATGTCTTGGCAACTTTGATTCCCTCTTAATTGCCTTATTCTTCAACTGTTAGCATCTGAAACATTTAATTTCTTTATCTGGGTAATCTAAACTTTTAAAAACCCTATGATGCAGTGACATTCTGAACTTTTTCGATGCTTGCTAAGAAGTTAATGAATTACACACATTGAGAGGACTGTTCATGTATTTTATGAGTCCTCATACTGAGGTAGCATAATTAAGGATAATGAAGCACAGCTGGATTTTTGTGACCCTTGCAAGGTATGACTTCATTACAGAGAGAGCTTGACGATACCACACAGGGGAAACAAAACTACTACCCAGCATTGGAGATGTAAATCAAAGCTAGCTGTCTAAAAGGTGTAGTTTAGCTTGTAGTTGTAGACCCTGAGCTTAGCTTTCACTCAGGTGGGAAGTTCCCTTTGCAGAGAAGACTTAGGTGAAACCACTGCAGTGCTGAGTTTTCCAGTGTCCTACTCTCAGTTCTTCCTGATGGAAAAACACAATTGATTGTAGCATTTCATAATCTTTAGACACATGAGTGAGTGCAGAAACTGACCACATTATAACAAAGGTTAATGTTTTTATGTGGAGATACTTTGATCTGGGGTAAGCTAACCTCGGGCTCAGACTTGGGACTCAGTTGTCTGAGTTAACTGTGCAGCAAAGATAAATCCACTGTCTCTAATTGGTCAGTCTTAGAAGAGTGAGAGAATGCAGCAGGTTTGTGAGATGCCTGTTTCATGTTGAGTTTGGAATGGTGGGAATTTCAGATGAAGCCAGATGGTAGGTCAGAAAGAGCAGAAGAGCTAAAGTTTGGCCAGTTGATTGAGTCCTGAAATGTGTTTTGTCTTTTTGGGGTTCTTCAAATAAAAAGTATTTTTAATTTGTACTTGCATTTAAATTCTTGTTTAATATCTGCAATAAATAGAGACCTACATAATTCATGGGGATTGCACCCTGATTTCATAGGCAGAATGTGGGCCTGGGCAGCTGTTTTGCAGGCAGAGTGCAGCAGGCCCTCCCCACGCCTCTGGCTGAGGGGACTGGATGGCCCTGCCACTTGTTGCTGATGGGTTGTCTGTCATGTGGCTCAGCCCCTTGCTGCTGATTGGTGAAGAGGGACAAGGCTACATGACAGACATCCCTAGCAGCCAATCAGTGGTGAGAGACAGGAGCAGCAGCCATCTTGCTGGGAGCCCTTCCTGGGACTGCCCTCCCCATTCGCCCCTTTCCCATCCTGGAGAGCTGCTGCAGCTCTCAGTAATTTTTTTTTCCCCTGTGGATTTCATAGATTCATAGGTTGTAAGGCTGGAAAAGACCTTGGAAGATCATCAGGTCCAGCCCCCTGCACCAAGCAGGAAAGACAACTGGGGTCAGGAGACCCCAGCAAGGTGGCCGTCCAGTCTCCTCTTGAAGATTTCCAGGGTAGGCAATTGCCCCACCTCTGGTGGGAGCCTATTCCACAGGGTGGACACCCTAGTTGTGAAGCAGTTTTTCCTAATATTGAGCCTGAAATGGTCTTACAGGAGTTAGTGACCATTACTCCTAGTTTTCCTCAAGGGTGCCCTGGTGAACAGTTGTTCACCTAGCCTTTGCATTTTTGTAGGTATTGCCTGGATTTCGCGGAATCCGCAAAATCGCAAATTTGTAGGTCCCTAGTAATAAAGCTAGCTGTATTTATTATGAACAATGGAGAAAGCAATGTTTTATAGTCAAGGTATGTTACTATTATTAGATCCTGTTCCAGTTGCTTAAAACTTTACCAAATTTTAATTTGAATCTTTTTGCTTCAGATTTTTTTTTGTCTCAGGCTGACTGAGTCAGGAAGATTTTAGAACAAACAGTTTTGACTTCAGGAAAGAAATGAATGGGCTGTTCTAAAAAAAACACACAAAAACTCATGTTTTCATGGGATACTCTAGAGCAGTGTTTCTCAATCCATGTGTCGCAACTCAAAAATATGAAAGGGCTGCAAACAAACTTTAAAAATGGATTCTCCTTTACAGGAGAAAAATCTGGGAAACTGTGGCTTTTCCCTTGCAGGCTGTCAGAGGTCCAGCCTGCAAGGGACTGCTTGGGGACACTCCCTTTCCTTCCCCGCCCCCCGCCCGCCCCACACACTGCGGGGGATGGGGGTGGGGGCATTGGGTTGGGACTGACCATTAATGTTTACAAATGGGTCCTGGTACAAAAAAGTTGAGAACCACTGCTCTGGAGCATCCATCTTTTGTAGTACAGCCTTCACATTTGGCTGAGTAGTCAGTTTGATGTCAGGGATGTGATTTTTTCATTGCATCTGAAAATCCATCTAAATCTGCCTAAGTAATAAGCCTCTGAAAAATCTCAGCTCATGCTTGCTGCTAGAGATTTGTTAGAATTTAGCAGCTAAATAAGACTGCTTGCAATGAACATGTTTCATCCTGTGAATAGTGCTGTACAGAGCAAAAGTCCCCAGGTAATTGTTTAGCTTGTGCTCTTGATGCCATCCAGCTGGTGTCCAGGCAGTCAGGAAGAAGTGGCTGGAGTGCATTGAGAAGTATAAATGGAGACTAACTGCCCAAGGAGATTACTTTTCGGGTCAAGTCAATGATCCCACATATTTTACTCTTCTGCCTTGAAGCCTTGCTTGCCCCTACCTGCCATATATTTCTAGGACTTTGTCCCAAGTCTGACATCACTCAGCATAGAATTCTTTGAGGTCTTCATATATTGATAACTTCCATTGTGCCATCAGTTAAATAGTTGCATTTAAAAATTATACTTTCTATGAAGGTTCATTTTGTACTCAGAATCAGAATTCTGTGTAGCATCTCTTTCAATTATTATTATTTTTTTTTTTTTTAGTTGATTTGCCTTTTCAGTACTTAACTTGCAGAATTCTTGGTCGGGTTTTTTTAAACGCGATTCTTTTTTTTTATTGCTGTTAATTTTTTTTTTTTTAAATGGAAAGTCTGGCCCTCTGGCCGAACTTAATAATGAAATGTATATCTACATGAGAAAATTGACTTAAAAGGAACTTCTCACATGCTTTTTTCCTTCTGTGTAGAATGTTGTGTTTCATCTTATTAACTAAGGTGCCTGATAACTATAGAAATCTAGCATGTAATGCATAGATACAATGCATTGGTAAAGCATGCTGGTAAGAAATACTACATATTTGTATGCTTGTAGGAATTTATTTATTTGTGGTAGCATGCACTCAGATGTCTAAGGACATAAGGTAGACATTTCCTACTCTTAGAATTTTACAGTCTAAGGACAAAGTTATAAACAGGAATAAATAGACACAGGTGTGAAGAAGGAGGTAATAATAGGCAATTGCAGTTTAGGTAAAAGTCAGTCTGGATCATTATAGGTAACATGGCAGAAGATCTTTTAAGAAAGACTTAAGAGTAGAATAGGGATTATGTAGCTGAAATTAA